GTTGCCCGTTTCTTATGCCATGGTTCATAAAATAGAGATCAAAGTCATGTTTCTTAATTCTAAGATGCTTAATAATAAGACGCATTAATATAATCTCCTTTATGTCATGTTCACTTAAGGAATACATAAACATTCACTTACACATTCGCTCTAAGTCAGTTTTTTTTTCAGTACCACAGAGTGTGAGTCCAAGCTTTCTGCAAATTTTCTAATTATCTTTTAAACAGGGGTTGTCAAACAGTCCTGCTGCTACCACTGCTTTTTTGTAGTCCTTACTTCTGTTCTGATCCCTTTCAAATGTACATAGTGTTGCTTCAAAGCATATGAATGGATACTGGGAATTTTTTTGTCTGAATTTCCTATGAAATGAAACTAGCAGTTTCATTTTTTTTCTTTATTCAAAGAAAAACATATTCCTGATGTTAATCAGCTTCTTCAGTGAGTTTCTGACATATAGGTGCCGAAGTGTAGGAGCCACCGTGAGGTTACATCTATCCCTGCTGACTTTAAATTTTTTATGATCTACTTCAAGAAGTTTGGCAATTCCTTTGAACATTTTAGACAAGTAACATGATTATATTCTCATTGCAAAAATACAAACAATATAAAAAATTCAAGGAAAAAAATTGGAAATTCTTCACTAACCCCTAATTCCCAAATTTAGTTCCCCAGGGGACCTTTCTGTGAGATGTGAACCTATCAAAACATTACCTGTGGACTTGTACACACACACTTGTGTATATACCAATTATGGAGTTTACATGCAGCGAAGCATCCCGTGTATATCCCATAACTTCTTTCATATAAGTTTGTTTTGGAGATCTTCCCATGTGAGTTCCCTAATGGTGGACATTTAGGTTGTTTCTAATTATTTGCTCTTACAAACAGTGCTATAATTAACATCCTTGTAAATGTCTCTTTGTGCATATGGGCAAGCATTTCTTTAGGGTAGCTATCTATGGTTTGGCAATTTCTGCTGCCTTTAATTGCATTGCCTGGTATCTGGCAGACGATCTTCTGCATGTACAATAACTTTTCATGTCCATGCTCCATTATAGTGTAAGTTTTAAAAAGATGTTTTAGGCAACAATTAGGGATCTAAGTTTGAGTTCAAATTCTGTGTGGATTTCCGTGGGCAGCTGAGGTGACACTTGAGGGAACAGATACCTACAGGCTAAGCTCATACATGCACTGGCAGTGATGGGGGAGCACATGAGGTCCCCTATACCAATATTTGTTGTAAGGCACATTGGGATATTTCAAACATGAAATATGGGGAAACGTATCCTGGGACTGAGGAGTCCTGGCAGTTTATTTTCCCTAAATGAATAGCCCATTGCTTCACCCTCATGTTTGAGTTGATATAACTGCTTTAGCCCAAACTCATTTCCCTTGTAGGTGGGTTTGTTTCGGAAGTATTAACTCTGCTGATCTACATGTCTGTTCCTGTGCTAAATTAGGGGGCAGGGTCCCCTGTCATCTTCTTTTCTAGAATTTTCTTGCACATTTGCCTCTCTGCTGCTCTTTCTTCTTCCCCACACTGTCCCTTTTACGCAGGGTGATTCATTAGCTGCATGATTTTGCATCCCGATGGGCCTGATGTGAGAACACCTGCAGCAGTCAAGAGCATATTCTCCTCAGGACTTGACACTGAGCTTGCCGTCAGTGTGAAGCAACCTCTCTCTCTTTTTCTTTCTCTCTCTCCACCCACATCCCGTGACATCTCCCAGCGTCGCTGCTCCAGCATCAGTTATGCCTGAGTCTTGAATGGTGTCAATCTGAGTTGAAAATGTGCCAGCTTTCTTAACATTATCACTAACAGACTGCTTAATTAACCTGCTGATACTGTCAATAATAGATCTTGCTGGTGTGCTAGAAAGGAGACCCATGACCCATGGTTGGTCTTGCTCTCATTTCCATTTGCTGAGTTCTCAGTGTCTGTGTCTCCAGAACTGGACTTGCCAAGAGTGGGATAGGAGGGGCCAGATTTGAAAGGGGTATCATAGAATTGAAAGTTCTGGATGAAATCGTGGAAATGAGTTCACAGGTCGGTATTCTCATGGCTCAAAGGAAGAGATGGCTAGGAGTTCGTGCGCACTGTAGGTGCTCAATAAATAGACAGCCAATGTACATAGTACACAGAAGAGAATACGGGGCAGGTCACATTTGAGTAGGCAAGCAGGAAGAACTATGGGTTCCAAGGGAAGAGGCAGAGAGGCTTGTCACCATTTTGTGGGTTTTTGTTTTCTTTTCTTCCATCCAGGCATCTTATATGAGGTTGAGGTGTTTCACCCCCAAAAGTGTCCTGGAGGGCCTCTCTGAGGGGAGGGAGGCTTGATATTCATCTCCTTTCATGCTTTATTTTCCATCTCAAGTGGTTCTGTGTTGGAACCAAAGTCCTCTGTCGTGCTGTGGCTACATTTCACTTGTGGATTCCTGGGAGCAAGCTGGTCTACAAGTTATCTCCTCCTCCCACCAGTCTCTCTCTCTCTCTCTCTCTCTCTCTCTCTCTCTCTCTCTCTCTCTCTCTCTCTCTCTCTCTCTCTCACACACACACACACACACACACACACACACACACATGCAATCAGGGTTAGAGATGTCTCAGCCTTCTGACCTGATGCGGCATGGGTACAGAGGCCAGCATTCTGTGTGAGCTCAACCAGGGATGTGAGATTTGGTAAGGACAGACCCTCTTACATCTAAGGGAACCAGTATGGGAGGTGGCTTGTGGCTGCTGGGGTCACAGGGTGAGCAGGCGGTATCTTCTGACTTTGTAGACATTCCCCTGGACATCACTCCTGCGTTCTTGCCTTTCCAGGAACATTGATGCTGCTGGTGAAAGGGGTTTTTGGAGGGCAGAAGTTGATGCCTTTCAGGGTTGAATACCACAACCTCCATTCCTGAGGTTTTGTTAGGTCTCCTCCTAACGGAAGGCCAGGCAGTCTCTGGTGTCAGGGATGTAGAGCGCTCCTGCTGTCACTAGAGGGCGTGTCACTAACACACAGGCCATGTGCCGGCTAGTGGGGAGACCAGTCTGGGGGCTCTTCTAGGCCCTGGGCTCTGAGGAAACCTGGGTCTGGCAGGAGCTCAACTCTGGGGTGAGAGGGGGTGATGCTGAGCCTGGATTGGAACCTAAGCCCAGCTGGCCTGGAATCCAGGCTCCCAAACCATCCTCCTCTACCTCAGATTGGCTTCTGTCTGTCAGTCTCCAGATATGTGTAAGATAAGGGTTTCCCAGTGTCAATACTGCTGACATTCTGGGCTGGGTCATTCTTTGTTGTGGGGGCTTTCCTATGCTTTGTACAATGGTGAACTGCACTGCTTTCTACCCACTGGATGCCAGCAGCAACCCCCACCCCAGGTCGTGATGATCAAAAATATCTCCAAATGTTGCCAAATGTCTCACAAAATCACCCCAGTTGAGAGCACTGTATAAGACAGGTGACCGTGCCTGCTGAGGGGACAGGAGGGGCCTCGGAGCTTGAGGCCCAACACAGAGGCGGTCTGCTGGTGGTTACCACTGCCGTTGAGAGTCTGTGGAAGCATGAGAGCTAATCAAAGATGGCATATGTGCTGTAAAGACATTTTAAAACTGTATTTGGTCTCCTGCTTTTCCTCCCAAAGACTGCAGAGCATTTCGGTCTTCCCTCTGCTTATTCCACCTCCCCACTTTGTTGAAACTGGAGACTGAGGCTCCCAGGCCCCCAGGGTCTCAAGCCGTCCCTCACCTGCAGAGCCCTCTCCCTCAGTGGCGAGCACCCTGGACCACTCTGCTCCCCAGCGTTGGCTCGGGTGCCAGGAGCATCTGCGGTCCTCCTCCCACTCCACCTGCCCACAAGGCCCTGCCGCCCTCCAGCTCCCCAAACCCTCGTGCCCCCCCACACTGGAGGGAGTGGGGAAGCAGCAGGTGTTGATGCTAATCAGCGTTCACAGCCCAGAACTGCAGTCGCTCCCAGGCTCACACACTCCCCAAAATTAAACACTCATTATACAAAATTAATTGACATTAATTAGCAAAAATTAAAACTTTAAACACAGCAAGGCGCTTTTGGGGGAGGAGTGAAGCAGCGGGTTCCACATTTGTCACCCCCCCACTCCCCACCCGCCCACTACCCCCGTTCCCCCACTTTCATCCTGTGCAGGGCTGGAGGAGTTCAGGCGAGGTCAGCACCTGCGCTGGCCCAACCACGTGAGTCTCAGGTGAGAGGCTCCCTGTGCTGGTCATCAGCTGATGGTGCCCCTTAACTCACATCCCCTGGGCCTAGGGCCACAGAATCTCAGTTGAGATGGGGGCTGGGCATGGCCAAAAGAGGGAACCCAAACTCCTGAAGCACAAATGTAGACTGTGTCTGAGGCCCCTTCCCCGAGCCCTCCCATCTCCTGGTGCCCCAAAGATCAGGCACTGTCGCCTTTCAGTTCTGTCCCACATTTCTGGGTGACCTCAGAGAAGTCCCCCTCCTGCCCCACCCCCAGCCTCCATTTTCCTTCCATATGATGAGGGGGCGGTGCTGGGTGAGCACTGAGGTTCCTGCCTGCTCTGGCACCTGCTGTCAGGGAAGCAAATCTCTGGGAGCTCAACTTACTCTGAGGAGCCAGGGGCTGAATGTGGGGGGCTGGAATTTCATGAGCGTGCCTGGAAAGGCAGCCCAAGAGACTGAGAAGCTGCCAGGGCAACATTGGGCATGGGTGGGGTGGGGGACCTGCCTATGAGAAGAAAGCAGCACCCTGATAACTGGTCACTCTCGAAGCCCTGAACAGTGTCCCTGTCCTCTCTCCCTCTGCTTAGTTTCGACATTTGCTCACGAGTTTCCCAGGGGCCCCTCATCCCTCACCAGGCTGACAGGCAGATGGACCGCCGACCATGCCTTCACCAACTGGCTCAGGATTTCTTCAGCACTGTTGTCACTTGGGGAAGGGTGGAGCCCAGTGGCGTTCTCGACTACATAGAATGCCACCCTCACCCCTCAGCCCTCCTCCCTGCTCCCTTCTCTCTCCAGCCAGCGCCAATATCTGCAACGTGGTCCTGATGCGGTATGGGGAGCTGGAGGAAGGGATCGACGTTCTGGATGGTGATGGCAACCTCGTGGGCTCCTCAAAGATCGCAGCCAGACACGTGGGTCTGCAGGGGCTCAGGGTGCAGGGTGTGGGGGGTCAGGGGTAGCCAGAAACAGGGGGATGGCCTCCTCTCTATGTGAGCTGGGGCCTGGAGATCTGGCCCCAGCCATGCCTGTAACCCTCCACATACACACACATCCTACTTCTCTCCAACTTCCCCCTCATCACCACCGTGACACATCCCCATCTCTTGTCCCAATCCCTCTGGACCTGGATTTACTGATCTGTTAATTGGTGAGGGTAGTAGAGGTCCCCCAGAGCTCTCATCCCCCCTCCCCAGGAGCGAGGGCCCTACTCCCTGGGCCCTCATATCCTCTTGGGTAAGAAGAGGAAGTTGGGAGCCATTGGTTTGTGGTTCTGTGCTAATAGGCACTTCTCAGGTGATACCTCACCAGGGAGCAAGTGTGGCACAGTGGAGGGATTTCAGGCTTGGGGGAGACCACAAGTAGAGCTTGGGAAGAATATCTGGTTACAAGAAGGCCCTCTTTCACCCTTGGTTTCACTAGCCTAGCTCACTCTAACAATTGTAATAATAATAATTTAAAAAATCCAGCCCATTTGTACAGTTCCTGGTGCTTCCCAGCCTTCATCCTAATGGCGATTAGCAGCTCTGGCCTCTGAGTTCTGGGACAGTGGGTGGAGAAGGGTCAGCTGAGGCAGCTAAGCCTTCTCCTCTATTCCAGCCACCATCTCTCATTGGTTCCCTTGTGGGGCCCAGAGCCTCCCCTATGTCCTTAAGGCTTTCTCCATCAGCCTCTGAGGCCATACCCCTCTCTACCCCAGGTCCTCAGCTCTGCAATGGTTTGAGGGAAAGTGAGTGCCTGCCTCACAAGGCTTGTGAGGGCCAAGGGCTTGGCGGTGCCGACGCCAACATTTATCATCTGCTCCCTGCACAGGCTCTGGGTGCTCATCTTCCCCATTCCTGTTCAGGAGGATGGAGAACCCTCTATGTGGCCTTCCTAACACTGATTATGAAGGACCTAAGTTCCTGCGAGAGATGTTCAGCCCTGAGCCCAGCATCAGATGGGATTTGACCTCGATTTCCTACCTGATCTCAACCTCCCATCCAACCCTACCTAGCCTTTTCTTTAGCTTGCTGTGAGGAGGCTGAACATGATATCTCCCCCACCTGGGTCAAATAGCAGGGAACCCCGAGCTCTTCTGCAGCTCTGGGCTTTCTTCACCCTGCTCCTTCAGCCTCTTGCTGTCTGTGGAAAGACTGTAGGAAGCCTATGTTATGGGCCATTTCTGGAGCCTTCTCTGAGGGCTAGGCACCGGGGTTGAAGGCACTCACTGCAATGAGCGGCAGAATGCAGAACTGCCACTGAGTTGTGCCCTCGCTGTGCCTGTGAATCCCAAGGGAGCCCTCAGAGTCAGGCTGATGCCTATGAAGACAGCAGAGCTCAAAGGCACGTTCTCCTACAAAGCTGACCTGTTGTCACTAAGAAAGACTGTATTCAGGGCCAGAAGATGCAAGATGTTAGCTTTAGGGGATGTAAAAAAAAATAAGTAAAACCTCAAATCTCTGTCCTCCCTCAGTACCACGAGCCTCCTGCAGCTCCGCAGGCCCCAGCTGTTTGTTCTGGTCCTTCCAGCACTTGCTTTGTTTTAGAGCATCTCGAGTTCTCCATATGTTTCCTCCCTGCATCTACTACCCAAGGCACCTCCCTGGGCACAGGCCCCTTCCTGGGGCCTGCTTCCGAGTTGCCACCCCTCCCCCCCACATGCAGGTGCTGGGATCTGCTCTTTTCAAATGTGTGTGGTAGGGAGATGGGGGTGGCTTTTTTCTGTTGTTTGGAATACAGCTTTGTGAGCCATTCCATGAATTATTCCATTCAGCCAGATGTACTTAGCGGCAGTGCACACACCTAGGGGCTCTGGGGTGGCGTTGCTGCCTGCTTTATGGCTGCTTCCCACTTCATGGCTGGTTCACCAACACCTCTGCTTGCCCCTCAGGCCCTGCTGGAGACGGCACTGACGCGAGTGGTCCTCCCCATGCCCATCCTGGTGCTACCCCCGATCGTCATGTCCATGCTGGAGAAGTGAGTTGGGGCAGCCAGGAGAGAAGGCCACCGCTGGGGGGGAGGACAAGAAGGGAGGGGAACCGGGTGGCCCAGGGCAAGGGACAGGGCAGCAGCTGGCCGCCCACCTGCCTTGGTTTGTTCAGCTCCCAGCAGTGTTACTGAAACCCGTCGTGAGAATTCACGGACGTTTGCTACTGGGGACCCTGGTCCAGGTTCTGGGAAGGATGTTTGATGGACAAACCTGACGAGCTGGTGGCCCTGGGGTGTGTGTTTCTCTGTGTGCAATCACATGCATGTGCTCCCTCCCTTCTGTGTGTTTCTGTGTGTGCATGTGCACACGTGTGCTCACTCCCTTGGGTGCACAGTGTGGGGCCAGTTGAAAAGAGTCGGCCTGAGGATTATGGTGGGAAGACTAGATTTAGGGCCAGTGCCACCTCCTTCAGGCATCCACCGGGAGGCAGGTCACTACCTCACTGAAACTCAGTGTCTCCATTTATAAAATATGAATAATACTAACCTCTCTGCCTTCCTCAAAGGGATATTTTGAGAACACGTATTTGTCATGACTGTAAAGAAATAGGAACACAATAATAAGGACAATGATGGAGTGATTCTGTTGATGAATGAGCGTGAAATTGAATTGTGAATACTGAGATAGCGTTTGAAGGAGAGGCCGAGCAGAGGAGGAGGAGGAGCCAGGACCAATGTGCAGGTAGGGCTGGCTGGGCAGGCCCTTCGATTAGGGTGAGGCTAGGATAGCATGAGCCAGGAAGGATTCTAGGTGGGGGAACAAGAAGAAAGGCCTGGAGATGCAGGGAAAAGTGAGGAGGTGAAGGTTCTCCACTGTGAGTCTGGCCTGGGAGGGGGCACCTCAAAGCAGTGAGCTTGGGGGCAATGTAGGATATGGACAGCTTTGGTGGCCTCCATCTTGGGCTCTGGGACTAGGACTTCTCCCCAGTTTAGGGAACTTATTCTCACAATATGAACCATAACAGCAACAACATTTATTAAACACTTAATAAATGACAGCCAGGTCTCTTCCCAAGAGGCTTCCCAATATTGGCTGCCTCTAGGGCTTCATACGTAAGAGATGGATTTTCTTAAATCCTGGTGCACAGTACACCTTGCCCATACTCAGGTACCATGTCCCCGTCCCCGCCAAAGCACCTACTCATTTTGCTTCTATTAGGCTGGACTCTTCGATGTCTACAAAACAGCCCACACCCTGCCTAGAAAGCCCTCCCTTCTGCAAAAATCCTACCCTGCTCCCAGAGGTGGTCACAGACTCTTCCCAAGAGCCAGGGCCTCCAAGAGGCCCTCCCTGACCTTCCCATCACCCACCATTCTTCTCCCCACAGTGCCTTATTTTCATTCATAGCACTTACAGATATCTGGGTTCTTATCTAGCTGTTTGTTATTTGTCTGTTCCACTAGAATGTAATCTCCATGCATCTAAGTAAACTCCTTTTTGTCACTGCCCTGCACAGCATCTACCAGTTCCTGCACATGGTAGGGACTCAGTAAGTGTTTGTTGAATGAGTGAATGAGCTCATTCTATCCTTGCACTAGTGCAATGAGATTAAGTATGGTGTCCCCATTTTAGGAATGATGAAAAGAAGGCCAAGAGAGGTTGCATCATGTGCTTGTAGTCATAGGCTAAACAATGGCAGAGCCAGGAGTGGCCCTGGAACTGGGCTGCCTCTTGGGCTTCAGATCACATCACATGACCAGCATGTCTTTAGGTGCTGTCCTGTGTGGAGATAGGGGCAGAGCAGATTGGGGGTCTGGACTCAGGAAGCTTGTATTTTGAAAGGGAGATGAGTGTGACCCACACATAGGTCAGCTGCAGCTGGGATTGGGCAGTGTGTCAACAGGGTCAAGGTGACCTTGAGGCGTGGGAGCTCTATGGGCCCAGCAGCAGAGAAGACTGGTGCAGTGGAGAGGGGCTGTGACTGCATCTGGGAGCAGGGCAGGATTTTTGCAGAAGGGAAGGCTTTCTAGTCAGAGTTGTGTAGACATCAAAGAGTCTAACCTGATAGAAGCAAAATGTGTAGGTGCTTTGGGGGGAAGGTGCACACTGTACCTGACCAGGGGCAGGGTATATGGTGTGCCAGGATTTAAGAAAATTCATCTCTTATGTAAGTAGCAAAAATGAACAGATCCTGGGGGAGCAGTTGCTTTTGTGCCCCAACCCTTATACATGCAGCAACATAGCTCCAGCATGAACTAAGGCTGTCCCTCCGAAACCAGGAGACAGCCAGAAATTGAGGAAGGTAGGGAATCTGTCCTCTAGGCTACTGACTCTTGAACCTGGAATTTGCTGGAGGAAAGCATGGTCTTTGAAGCCTTCCCAGTTGGCATCTGCGTTGGGTTTGCTGCAAGTGGAACGATGATTAGTGTCCCATTGGTTTGGGGGCTCAAATTGAGCTTTGGGTAGCCTGAAAGAGAGAATGAGCTTGTTCTGGTTCTGAACCTCCCCAGTCTGGATCCACCAGGAGTCTGGGCTACCAGGTTTCTGACTCACCTCTGGCTCGGTAGAAGCCCTTCCGGGAGGTGGAAACAGGTGAGCTGGTCAGATCTCCTAGAAGCTTTGACTTGGTTGATCTTTCCCTGAAACTCATGGGGGTCTCTGGCAAGGGGAAGAGTCCATCCTGTGTTGCCCCAGGAATGTCAAGATGAACAAGATCTACTTTGAGCCCTCAAAGATTTACTGCTTTTCATGTTTGGGGAACTGTGCCCCTGTCTGATGGGAGAGGCAGCACAGGGTAACAGCACCAGGCAGAACTTCTGGTAAGAAAAGGAAATCCAGGTTCCTGCTCCACCACTTTTGGGCCAGCCTCAGTTTCCCACCTGGAGAATGATGACATTTGGTCTCTGGGGTTTTGTGTTCTGTACCATCCAGCAGGCCCCTGGGCTTTCTGCAGGACCCCACTGAGCACCCATAGCCTTACAGGCAGGGGTGAGGGTGACAGGGCCTCTGCTCAGGAGGCTGCTGGTAGAGGCAGCCCCACCCTCTGGAAACCCCTTTGGGTGAGGGAGTCAGGACAGCCAGGAAAGAAAGACAAAAGAACACTTACAAAGCAGTCTACTTGCAAATTAATGGAGTGCCAACTAAAACTGTGCTCCAAGTGCTGAGGGAATGCACAGCAATGGGGGGACAAGCTGTTGTGTGGCAGCGGGCTGGGCTCTGGCCTCAGTTTATCCTCTGCGGGAGGAGCACTCATCCACTGGGTCTCTGGGTTTCCTGCCAGGATGAGAGAGGAGGGAGTGTGGCATGTTCAGGTGCCCCCTTTACTGACACTAAAAGAAAAGAGCCCTGAGTCAGAAGTAGAGGACCTTCACCCCAGAGCACGGGCCTTCTGAGGGGTGTGCATGCTCTCTCGCCCCCACACACATAAACACATACTCCCACACATGCACACACAACCTCCCTCCCTCTCTGCCTCAGGCTTGCACTGTAGCTGGCTTTAGACCCAGGCCTGGGAGGTTGGGCCCCTTCTGAGTGGTTCCCTTAACTCAGGGGCAGGTGCCTGGGCTGGACCGGGTGGGCCGCCAGGCTCTGTCCCTGCAACCTCGCTTCCCCCAGCCCTGCACCCCTGGTCCTGGAGCTTGTGGGGATGCCAGCTTGGATCTAAGCTAAGTCAGGGTTCGGGCCACAACCCCCATCACTGTGGTTCCTGAGGCAGCTCCCCAGCCTCCCTCATTCCAGGGGATCCGGGTCTTTTCTTTCTCCCAGGCATTCGCACATCTCTCCATCTGCATATTTTAACTCCCCCTGCTGCCTTTTCCAATCCCTCCCTGCCATTTCCCTTCCTTCTGCCCCTCCCCCTGTCCTGCTGTGTTCACTCTTCCCCTGCTCCGGGCTGGGACTTCAGAGGCTCCTGTGGGCCTGCAGTCTCAGGCCTGTCCTGCCGAGCTGGGAACACTGGCCTGGGGCTCCCTGCGCTCTCTGCCCAGTGGAGACGTCAGCCAGCCACTCCTGACAGATAGGCCTGGCTGCAGCCCCCCACGGAGGGGGGAGGGAGTCTGTCCTCACCCTGGGAGGGGGCCTCACTCTTCTCCCTGTCACTGTCCTAGCCCTCAGTGACCCTGGGACTGTGTCTGCAGGGACTTCACACCCTCCCATGCCATCTCCCCTGCTCAGGAACTGGCAGGGACTAATGTCCCAGTCCTGCCATGAGGACAGGAGAGCAGTCTCTTCAGAGCCAAGGCTCTTGGCCTATGCACAAGTCTGAGTTAGCCCGTGGGTACTACCTCCTTGTGCTGCAAGGGAAGTTGACCTGTGTTGAAACAATCTCTGAGCCCATGTTAGTCTTATTTCCATGGGAGCCCAGGAAGCCGGGAGCTGAATCCCTGTGGGGAAGTGGGGCTCCCCTGGTGGTAAGAGAGAAGATGGGAGCACTAGACTGGGATGGAGGGGTCAGATGGGCTTGAGCTTGATTCAGGCATCTTGTCCTGTTGTGCTTCATCTTGTGGAAACACCCCAAACAAATAGCTCAGTTGGGGCTTCATTTGACAGGACACCTTGTTAGATCTTGGGGTCCTGGTTACTGGGAGGGACAAGAGGACAGCCCTTCCACCAGGATCCTCCCTCCTTTCTGCCCTAACAAGGTCAGAGGCCACAGTAATAATAACACACATAATGGCTGAGCACTTCCTGTGTCCAGGCCTTTGCCTTGAATAGAATATACAAATAGTTGGGTCTTTATTGGTATCTTCACAGGTTCATCCTGGACCAGGGTTTCTCAGAAGTGTGGTGTAGGATTTACCTGTTTTAGACTCATAAAGGGTTGTTTGAGATGCAGATTCCTAGGTGTAATGCCAGCTAAATCAGAATCTCGTGAGGCTGGGAGTCTGCATTTTTAACCAGCTGCCTAGATAGGGTGGTGGTCCTGAGGCCGCTCTTCAGCCTCCTCCTGTCCCTGGGGGGGGGGGGGGGGTGTTTAAGAACTGCTGGCCCTAATTTTGTTGTCTGTTTAGGGCCAGGTGCTCTTGAGAGGTGAAGGTCTTGTGGGGTTTGCCTGTTTCGAGGACAGCCTGTGACCACGGCCAGCCCTGCTCCATTTGGGGAGGGAGAGGGCCCTGACATGTCTCTTCATCCCAGGAGCATGTCTCGGTCACAAGGAGGCTACTTGGTTGTCAAGGTCAGATTTAGTGTCCACCCCACAAGCTGTGATGAATAGTCCATCCCTCTGGCATTGCCTGCTCCAGGCCTCCCCAAATAGAGGGTTGGTGGTCCCCACTAAAGGGCCTGCTCGATTATGCAAAACATAAAACTCTGATGGACAAATGATGATGTATTTCCCAGCAGGTATGGCCCTCTCTGCCTGGAAAACCTGTTTTATCTGGGAACTGGGAGACCCAGTGCCCTAGAGGGAGGTTTTTCAGACCCTTCTCTTGTCCAGGAACCCACCTCCAAAGCTTGCAGAAAGGGCATCAGCTGTGATGTGCTGGTGATGAACCTGAACTTGGAGCTAGGAGCACAGGGTGATTGCACTTGCACTTGCGGGTAGTCAGGGGCCCTGCCTGCCTCCTGCTGAGCTGCCCTGGGGCAAGTAACTACCTCTTTGTGGGGCTCTTAGAGCTGTAGGGTGTGTTCTGTCTCAACACAGAAGTGAATCATCCCCTCCCAGTTTTATGTGTGCATGCATGTGTGCCTGTATATGAATGCACGCGTGTGTGCAGGTGCACGTGCCTGTGTGCATGCGTGTGTGTGGTTTGTCTCCTCCTCTGGACTTGGCATCTACTCTGACTTGTGAATTATTTCATTATGTACTGTCTTTAAGGACCATCTTACAATTCTGTGCCCTCCCCACCCCCAGGAGCAGGGGCTGACAGCCTCCTCTATTGTCTCCTTCCACATCAGCCTTCTTTGTAGGCAGTGGTGTGAGTGCCCCTCAGGTATTCACTTATGACTTATGGTTGAACAAGAGTTCAACCACCCATACCCTTCAAGACAGGCCCTGGGGAGAGGGGTGCTGACTGGAGAAGGCCTCAAAGGCAGAATTCCCCTACAGCTCTCTAGCTGTGGGCAGGTACTGGCCAGAACCAGGCTGCCCTGGCTCTAGGACTTTGAGCGGGATGAGTGTGGTGGCTGGCAGCCAGCTTGCCTATCTCTGGTCTCACGCGTGCACGCCTCTCTCTCTCTCTCCTATAGGACGGCTCTCCTGCAGGCACGACCCCGGCTGCTCCTCCCCGTGCAAAGCCTTGTGTGCCTGGCAGCCTTCGGCCTGGCCCTGCCGCTGGCCATCAGCCTCTTCCCACAGATGTCAGAGGTCAGTGGGAGGAGGGGCTCAAGGGCAGGGAGAGATGTGGCTTGCTTGTTTATTCATTTTTTTTTAATTTTTAAATTTATTTATTTTTATACAAGAGCTGGGGTACAGGCCAGAGGTATGGGGGGGTGAGAGGATTCAATAGAGACAGAGTGGGGAGCAAAACAGGCAGATGGACCAAAGTACACCGCTGAGGGGAGCAGCAGGCCAGACAGGAGAGGTCTGCCCTGCCATTTGGGTAGCTCCCCGGCCCGCTGGGAATCAAACCAGCGCTGCAGAAGCTGCAGACAGCTTCACAGTGCTGCACTCAACCCTCTGCGCCACCAGGGAGGCCCCAGCTTGCTCATTTATTAAGAAATACCTACTTAGTGCTGCCTCCTTAGCACTGGGCTAGGCACTGGGGTAGAGCCGTGAATGAGACTGACACAGACTTGACCTCCCAGAGTTGAGTGTCAAGCAGTGAGCACCATGATTAAACAGAGTAGCAAATGATGGTGGGGAGTGATAGGATGGGAGCACACAGTGAGGCCCTAATGGAGCCCAGAGGGAAGTGGCATTTCACCAAGGCCTGGTGGGTGGACTGGAGTTGATCGGGTACATGGGGTGGAGGGGACACAGAGGCTGGGGTCATCTGGGCTGAAGGTTCTAGATGAGGCAGCACAGCGCATGTTCCAAAAGCTGAGGCACAGTAAGCAGAGAGTGAGCAACATGAACTGCACCAGGGAAAGGGGCCTGGGCCAGGTGGTGCTGGGAACTTAGAGGCAAAGCAGAGAATGAATGTTTGAGAAGGGCTATGCCTGCAGAACCACTGGTTTTGCAGAACTCCTGAGTTTGAGTGGTGCCCATGACTGCTTTGTGAGGCCAGGCTGGTGCTCTGTAGGAAAGCAGCCAACGGGAGGCACCCAGAGAGAGAGGATGGCAGAGTGGACAGGGCTGTTGGCAGTGGGCATGGGGAGAAGTGAGTCCTTGCAGGGACAGTTAGGAGGCAGCTTCATCAGGATTTGATGAGGTTGCATGTGTGAGGAAAAAGGAGCCTGCAGGATGTGCTCAGCTGCCTGCTTTTGAGCAACCTGGCAGATGTAGGTACAACCACATCATCAGCGTGCTGAGATGGATAGAGACATGGGTCTGAGGAGCCTGGGGAATATGAAAGTGGAGCTGCCTGTGGGGACCTGGCCCTGGGCCTGGAGTCTAGGAGAGAGGACAGGACTGGAGGAACAGAACAGAAGCCACCAGCAAAAAAAAAAAAAAAAAAATAGTAATGAAAGAGAGGGATGGGCTTGGATCAGCCAGGAGCTGCTCTGGTGGAGGAAAGAGACTCCAGAAGGTGAAGTCCAGGTTGGGTGACCAGGGAAAGAAGGACACAGCCAAGTGGGCAGGGGGTGGTAGATTGTCTGCAGAGTCTGACCTTCCTGAGGCATCAAGCCTCTGAGGCTGACGAGTGTCCACTGGCGTCTCGGACAATGAGGGCAAACCTGTCCTGAGGGGGAGGGGCCCAGCTGACGGGTAAGTGAGCCAGCGTCGGCCGGCTTGTCCAGAGGCTTAGCACCAAGGGAAAAAGGAGAAACAGACCCACAGCTGGAACAAGATGTGAGATCAAGGGAAGCTTTTATTTGTTTGTTTTTCTCTCTCTTTTTTAAAATTTATTTATTCAAGCACTGGGTACAGTCAGAAGTGTGGGAGGGTGAGAGAATTCACCAGAGCCAGAGCGGGGAACAGAACAGGCAGACTGACGAAATACACTACTCAGGGGAGCAGCGGGCGGCAGAAGAGGTCTGCGCGCTATGTGGGAACCAGCGGCTGGGGATCGAACTGGCGCTGCAGAGGCTGCAGGCAGCTTCACAGCCCAGCGCTCAACCACTGGGCCACCAGGAGAGGCCCCTGTTTTTCTCTTTTTTATTTTTATTTTATTTTTTTAATTTAAATTTTATTTTTATATTCCCCATACAATCACAACCCCCTTATTTTGACCCCAAGCCCTCCTTTCCCCGGCCCCTACCCACCAAAGAGTATCTCTGGTTCGTAGTTATTTGTTGATTTTTTTTTTTATAGTTATTCTTTTTCCTGATCCCTTATTTAAGTTTTCTAGATTCCTGCTATGAGTGAGACCATCCGGTATTTTTCTTTTTCTTTCTGGCTTATTTCGCTGAGCATGATCCCTTCCAGCGCCATCCATGTTGCTGCAAATTGCATGTGTTTATCTTTTTTGAATGCTGAGTAATATTCCATGGTGTATATGGACCACATCTTCTTGATCCAGTCATCTATTTTTGGGCAGTTGGGTTGTTTCCAAAGCTTAGCTATTGTAAACAGTGCTGCTATAAACATAGGTGTGCAGGTGCTCTTTGGAATTGATGTTTCTGTGTCCTCTGGGTGTTTTTCTCTTTTTTAAAGGGGAGAGACTGGAGCTGGTGTAAATGCAAAAGGGAAGGCACAGGGAGGGGGGTGGGGAGGCAGAGCCCATGCAGGTAGAGACTAGGGATTTTCCTGAGTTAGTGGGGTGACTGGGCAGACAGAGTTGGGGGTGGGGTTCCTGGGTGAGGGGTTGAAGAATTTGTTCTGATGGCTTTTATCATCTTATGACTCTGAGGGAGGAAGAGGAGAAAGGTTTGAGGATCATTGAGAAGCTTTGAAACATTCAAAGGGGAGGATGGGAGTGAGAGATGACGAGCAAGTCTGGGAGGGCTTGGCTGAGGCAGGAGGGAGACATTCTTGTGTGGGTGTGGCCAGGGCCTCTCTCCCTAGCCCTGGGGGCGGGCTCCAGGAGGCACAGCTCAGAAGAACCTTGCTCGGGGGGTTCATCAGGCTGGGTAGGGCGTTCTGGAGGTTGGTAAGATGTCGGGAGCTGCAGTGGACCCTAGAATCTTAGCTGATTAGGGTTAAGGTGAGTAAGCTGACGGGAAAAGCAAGGTTTGATAGAGCAGCAGACCCAAGTTGGGGGGGGGGGTCAAAGAATGAAGGTGGTTATCAGTAGTAACTGTGCTCAGGGAAGATAGAGGCTGTGGCCAGAGAAAGGCATTTCTGCATTTGGGATTTCAGGACCAACCCTGCTTCAAACAGGGCCTACAGAGAGGTGGTGGGAGGGGTTAAGATTCTCAGGGAAGGCTAGTAAGGGACCTGGAAAATGACACTCATCTATGAGCACTGGCAACCCAGGATCTTAGAGTAGGAGGTGGGGATCTCCAGCTCCAAGTCCTAGGAGGGTGAGGACTGGAGTTGCTTCCCTCCACTGAGCCCTAGAGTTCCAGGGGGGAACTGTGATGGGGTGGGTGTCTGTCTCGGGAGGCCAAGTATAGGACTGGAAGCCCGGTTTGTGGTGACTGCCAGCTGTATCCTCGTGCCCAGGGGGCCCAGCCTGTGATGAAGCGAAGGAAACCCCTCTCCACCCTCTTCTCCACCCCCCACGACAGCTGCGACCCAATGCCTGCAGACTCCAAGTAGAAGCAAGGGCTCCAGCGTGCATGAAGTTCTGAAGGTGGGAGCGAGGGAGCCTGGGCACTCTCAGTGGTCCTGGCATCCCTGTTCTGGAAGGTGGGGCCGGCACTCTGTACAATCGAGTTGTTCTAGGAGAGGGTCAAGTGCCCTGTGCTCATAGGCACCCCCATATGCAGAAAGCAGCTGGTCGTGGCAAGAGCTTCCCGCACTGAGGCAGGATCCAGAAGAGTGGATCCCCTGTGTGGGATTGGAGACCATTGCTGTCGGAAGAGTTTCAGGGTCATCCAGTTTACAGCCCTCCTGTCTGTGCTGGAGATGTGGAGACCCAGAGCAGCCAAGAGACCAGCCAAAGTCACAGAAGCAGGTGCTGATATGGGAAGAAATCCCAGAGCCTGATCCCAGTCCAGAGCTCCCAGGAAACGCCGCATCGGAGCGTTCAGTGGTGGATTTCCTCTCCTCATTTGATCACCTTATTCACCGGGGGCAGTGGAGAGAGGCAGAAGCGGGGGTGGGGGGGGAGGGGGGTTCACCCTGTGTGGGGAAGCCTAGAGTGCTGTGGTCTTTGGTGGGTGTTCCACTGGAGTGGTTAATGGGGAGGTGGCCACTGCACCTATGCTGGGCCTCTAGCCCACCCCAAGAGGTGGCCTATGTGAATGGGCCCTAGTCAAGGCCTGGTCCCTTTCTGCCCCAGGCCTGCCTCAAGTGCTTGTGGAAGGCAGTTCTTTTGGGTGTCGCCAGGCCTCCTTGTCTAGACTGGGAAGAATATAATCGTGGCGTAGTAAGTCTTTGTTCTCTGCAAAGGGAGGAAAGGGACATGATCTTCAAAGCCCCTCCTCACCTGACCAACCCCAACAGGGTGCAGGTGGGCCTGGACACCATGAGTTGTTGTGAGGCCTCTCTGTGACCTGTGGCACCAAAGCCAGCCGGCATTGGCAGAGAGGACCTGTTTCCCCCGCATTCATCCTCCCAATTAATTCTCTCTAACGAGGTGCTTCTTCTGTTGTATGGGGACCATGTCTCACATCCCAGAAGCCAGTGGGATTTGCCACAATAAGTCTGGACTTGCTTGGGCTGACCCACCCTTGCCAAGAGTCACCAAGGTTGTCAACAGGAGTAATCGCTGGAATGCTAATTAATTAATTAGGGGCTTGGAGTTAAGGAACTGCTTCCTAGAATGGCTGGCGTGTGGTGGTTGGTATGGGGTTTTCCGGCCCACTGACCCAAGGTCGAGGAAGGAACTCAGTCCTGGGGACACAGTTTTATCTGTTCTTTTCAAACTATTGTAGTCTCTATTAAACTGCTCATTTTAATATTAAAATGGCAAATAATAATAGTGTCTGCCTAATAGAAGCACCTACAGGCCAGGCAGCATGCTGGGAACTCTGTGTGCTTGTATTAAATTTGGCTGTTCAAGTCTGAGCTATGCCTGAATATGAAGGGATGTTACCTAGACAGACATGTGCATCTCTGGACCTGGGGAGAAACGGGGCTAGAGATATGGGACCTTTGGTTCATGGGGGGGATCTGAAGTTGCAGAAGGAATGAAGTCACTGGGAGGAAGAAAAGCC